AAGGCAGAACTTCTGAAATGCTTTTTCGTTTTTATTTTTTTTTTCATTTTTTTTTCAAGAATACAAAACTGAACACAACTCCTTCATGAGCAATAATACCTCAAAGAAACTCCACCGTTACTAACTCAAGTTGAGGACAAAATATCCCATCAACTCATATTCATCACTTCACATTCATGTTTATACCTCAAAAACTAGCCATTATCCAAACACTAGCAAAGAAACTTGCATCTCCCCCACACTTTCCTTTTCACCAGCTTGCAAACAAAGGCTCACTTGACTCATGGATGGGTCAAAGAGATTTTTTTTTCTCATGGGTTTGGGTTCTTTGGAAGTGACTAAGGAAAGAAATTGGTCAAATTTATTTCATGGCTCAACGGGGCTGCCTAGGGGACAAAATGCACACCGTGAGAAGGTGATCTTTTAAGGCCTTTTGGGTGAAACTCTAATGCCTTAATCATTCTCGTGCAAGCACACAACTCATGGTTCTGAAATGGTTTAAAGCAAGTTCTAGAAGTAACACAACCAAGAGAAGGGAATCATGCACTCACAAAGAAAACAAGCTGCCCTGGGCAACTATTAGGCTCAAAAACTCACGGTTAAAATTTAACCACCTGCTCCTATGCAAGAATACACACAGCCAAACACATGCAATCATATTATGCATCCCTAAAAGCACATGAATCTAGCTCCCAATCAATATAACCATCAAGTGGTTTTGAAAAAGAATGCCAAGAGAGCTGTTTTTTTTTGGGTATTTCTTTTACTAGCACCCCACCCCCACACTCAAACTGGAAATTGTCCTCAATTGATAAAAAGAAAAGTAGGATAGCAGCAAGCATAGTAAAACTCCCCTGATTTTATTGAAGCACTCCTCAAGTTGAAAGTGAGCAGCCCGGTGGTATCTAAAAACCTGCACTACAGAGAAAAAAAAAAAGATAAAAAGCAACTAAATCTAAATAAAAGCTGAAAGCAAAATAAGAAAAGTAAGAAAAAGTGAATATGGAATTGGGTTGCCTCCCAACAAGCGCTTTTGTTTAACGTCTTTGGCTCGACGCAACTGAGTACTTCAACCATCATGATTTGGATCAATTAAATCTTCCGACTCAACCAAATGTGCCTGGAGACCCTCGTAATACGGCTTCAATCGTTGCCCATTGACTTTAATTATTTTCAAGGTCTTTGGGTCTTTGATTTCAACCGCACCATGTGGATAAACCTTCACCACTTCAAACGGACCAGTCCAACGAGAGCGGAGCTTCCCTGGAAATAGTTTCAACCTTGAATAAAAGAGCAATACTTTCTGGCCTTCTCTGAATGACTTCCTCGCTATCATCTTGTCATGCCATTTGACTGTTTTCTCCTTATAAATCGCAGCATTTTCATAGGCATCATTTCGAATTTCCTCCAGCTCCTGAATTTGGAGTTTTCTGTGAACACCGGCATCATCAACATTGAAATTGCATTGCTTGACAGCCCACCACGCTTTGTGTTCAAGTTCTACTGGTAAGTGGCATGCTTTTCCGTACACAAGCCTAAATGGAGACATCCCGATTGGTGTCTTATAGGCTGTCCGGTACGCCCACAGTGCATCTGGCAGCCTCAAACTCCAATCCTTTCTTGTAGGGTTCACTGTCTTCTCCAGAATCTGCTTTATCTCTCTGTTGGATACCTCCGCTTGACCGTTGGACTAGGGATGGTAAGCCGTTGAGACCCTGTGAGTAACCCCGTACTTCTTCACCAAAGCTCCTATCACTTTGTTGCAAAAATGTGTGCCTTTGTCACTAATCAGCGCCCTAGGAATGCCAAACCTGCAAAAAATATTGTTTTGGACAAAATCTGCAACAACCTTAGCATCGTCAGTCCTGGTAGCTTTAGCTTCCACCCACTTAGATACATAATCACAAGCCAAAAGAATATAAAAGTTGCCAAAAGAATTAGGAAATGGTCCCATAAAATCTATGCCCCATACATCGAAAATTTCGACAACAATAATCGGGTACAAAGGCATTTCATTTTTTCTAGACAGATTTCCCATTCTTTGACACCTATCACAAGACTTGCAAAACAAATATGCATCCCTAAAAATTGAGGGCCAATAAAATCCAGAATCTAAAATCTTCATAGCAGTTCTTTTAGGTCCAAAGTGACCACCACATGCATGAGAGTGACAAAATTCTAAAACGGCCGGTTGTTCTTTTTGTGGAATGCATCTCCTAATAATCTGATCAGAACAAAAGCGCCACAAGTAAGGCTCATCCCACAAATAGAACTTAGCATCACTTTTCAATTTTTCTTGTTGATGCTTACTCAAATCACTAGGTAACTGCCTAGAAACTAGATAGTTTACTAGATCAGCATACCAAGGCAACTCTGTGTCAATCAAAAGTAAACTCTCATGAGGAAAGAAATCACCTATTGGACCGACATCGCCCTCAACTTCCAGGCGACTCAAGTGATCAGCAACTGAATTTTCTGCCCCCTTTTTATCCTTGATTTCCAAGTCGAATTCTTGTAGCAAAAGAATCCAACGAATCAAGCGGGGTTTTGCCTCTTTCTTTGCCAACAAATAACGCAAGGCTGCATGGTCAGAATACACAATAACTTTGGCACCTAACAAATAACAACGAAATTTATCTAAAGCGAAAACAATAGCTAAAAGCTCTTTTTCCGTGGTCGTGTAATTTCGCTGTGCAGAATTCAATGTGCGAGAGGCATAATAGATCACGTGCAAACGTTTTTCAACCCTTTGGCCCAACACCGCACCAACTGCATTGTTGCTCGCGTCACACATCACTTCAAATGGCAGGTCCCACCTCGGTGATTGAACAATAGGGGCAGTTGTGAGTGCTGCCTTCAGAGTATCAAATGCCTCTTTGCACGCATCATCGAACTGAAACTCAACATCCTTCTGTAGCAGATGGCATAATGGAGAGGCTATCTTGGAGAAATCCTTGATAAACCTCCTGTAAAAACCTGCATGCCCAAGAAAAGAACGAATTTCCTTCACAGAAGAAGGATAGGTCAGATTGTGAATAACATCAATTTTGGCCTTATCAACTTCTAAACCCTTACTGGAAACAATGTGACCTAAAACTATACCTTGTTTTACCATAAAATGACACTTTTCTGAATTCAAAACAAGGTTAGTTTCAACACATCTTTTCAAAATCAAAGATAAATTATGTAAGCAAGAATCAAAAGAATCACCATAAACTGAAAAATCATCCATAAATACCTCGATGATTTCCTCAACGTAGTCCTGAAAAATGCTCATCACACATCGCTGAAATGTAGCTGGAGCATTACACAATCCAAATGCCATACGTCGGTATGCGAATGTGCCGAAGGGACAAGTGAATGTAGTTTTACTTTGGTCTTCTGGTGCTATCACAATCTGAAAGTATCCACTGTAGCCATCCAAGAAGCAGTAATACTCATGCCCCGCTAGCCTCTCAAGCATCTGGTCCATGAAGGGTAACGGAAAGTGATCTTTCTTTGTTACTTCATTTAGTTTCCTATAATCAATGCATACCCTCCAGGAATTCTGAACTCTTTGAGCAATGAGTTCATCATCTTTATTCTTCACCACTGTCACTCCAGATTTTTTTGGCACCACTTGAGTCGGGCTCACCCACTCACTGTCTGAAATGGGGTATATGATTCCAACTTCTAGGAGCTTCATTACTTCTTTCTTTACCACGTCCATCATAAGAGGATTCAGCCTTCTTTGAGGCTGCCTAACGGGTTTAGCTCCATCTTCCAGAAGGATTCTATGCATGCAAATTGCTGGACTGATTCCCTTAATGTCAGCAATATTCCACCCAATAGCTTCTTTATACTCTCTCAGGACTCTTATTAGTTTATCCTCTTGAGTTAGAGTAAGTTCATTCGAGATAATTACTGGAAGGGTATCATTTGATCCCAGAAATGCATACTTCAAGTGAGAAGGCAGTGGCTTAAGTTCAACTTCAGGGGGCTGCACTATAGATGGGAGGATTTTGGTGGTTGGGACTGGAAGATCAATATAAGATAAGTTAAATTTCCCAGATTTCATCGGGAGTGCTTCCAAGGCTGCAATCATCTCCTCAATTTCTTCTTTGGGTGCTAGTTCGAGTGCATTATATGTTTGGTTGTTAAAGCTATTTCTCAACACCAAACTCAAGCTATCGGCTGCTTCAAACTCCATCACTTGTTCAGAAATAACATCCAGCGCGTCAATGGAAAGAACAGCATGAACATCGTTGGGATAACGCATGGCCTCAAAAATATCAAAGCGCACTACATTCCCATCAAACTCCATTGTTAAAATCCCCTTGAACACATCAATCTGAGTTCTGTCCGTTCTTAGAAAAGGTCTTCCAAGCAAAAGAGGAATCGGTGTAAGGTCCAACTCATTATCTTCCATCTTTAGCACAAAGAAGTCTGCTGGAAAAACCAGATCACCCACCTGCACCAAAACATCCTCAACCAGCCCCTCGGGATACACATTTGACCTATCAGCCAGTTGTATAATCACACCGGTTTCTATCAAGGGGCCAATGTTCAAGGCAGTATAAACCGAGTATGGCATAACATTAATAGATGCACCGAGATCACACATAGCCCTTTCGAACCTCTTGTTACCTATAGTAACAGGAATGGAAAATGAGCCTTTATCCTTGCACTTCACAGGGAGCTTCCGTTGGAGTACGGCAGAGACATTTTCATTTAGGCTTACTCTTTCATCCCCTCTAAGTTTTCTTTTATTTGTGCACAGTTCCTTCAAAAACTTTGCATACCGCGGAACTTGCTTGATTGCATCGATGAGAGGTATGTTCACTTCCACCTTCCGAAAAGTATCCCAAATATCCTTTTCCAGACTTTCTTTCTGTTTTTTTAGCCAACCTTGATGGAAAAGGGGGGGGAAAGAACATTAGCCGGTATGGAAGAACTCGCCTCTTTATCATTTTTCAGCTTGCAAACGAGGTCATCTGACATTGTTTTCTTCTGATCTAGCAGCTGGGATACATCTGGCTCATCATCCAGACCACTTTTAACCTCTGTTTCCTTCTCTTGGTCAAGCTGAAATGACACCTTCTTGGCTCTGTCTTCACTCAAAATCTTGCCACTACGAAGAGTGATGGCATTTGCACTTTGATTTGGGTTCATAGGCTGTGAAGGGAGCCTATTCAAGAGCTGGGACTCAAGTCTACTCATAGATGTAGCTAGCTGGCCCACCTGTGTTCTTAAATCTTGCATTCCCACTCTAGTTTCTTGCTCAAATTTCAGCTTCTCTTGCTCTAACTTCAATTGGCCGTCCACCAGCCTCTGCATCATAACCTCAAGTGTAGAGGTTGAGTTCTGATTAGGTGCTCCAGATTGAGAACTCCCTGGTCCAGGCATATGTTGCGGCTGAGATTGAAAGGCTGAGTTGTTGTTATTGCCATAGCTCAGATTCGGGTGGCTCTTCCATCCTGGATTATAGGTGTTCGAAAAAGGATCAAATCTGCGTTGTGAAGAACCGGGAAACCCCATTGCATTAGCTTCTTCCATCTTCCCTTGAAGCAATGGACATTGATCACTGAAGTGAGCATTAGAAGAGCAAACACCACACACATTTTTAGTTTGCTGCAGGTTCATTTGAGTCATCATCAAAGCAGTGAGCTGCGAAAGTTGCTGATTTGTGGCAGCAAGTTGTTGCTCAAGATTTGAACTTGCTATCTCATTCACTTGCTTAACGCCAACATCCTGGCGCATGCCGAATTGATGTGAGTTAGCAGCCATAGTATCGGTCAGTCTCCAAGCTTCAACTGGTGTTTTATCAATGAGAGCTCCTCCACTTGCAGCATCAAGCATCACTCGATCAACAGGTAGTAGGCCCTCGTAGAAATACTGAATCAATTGAACTTCAGTATATTGGTGGTGAGGACAGATCTGACATAGTTTCTTAAACCTCTCCCGATATTCATACAAGGTCTCTCCAGGCATTTGCTTGATTCCACAAATCTCCTTCCGCAAAACAGCTGTCCGGGTGGCTGGAAAGTAATTCTCCAAGAACATTTTCTTCATATCATTCCAAGAGGTAATGCACCCGCTTGGCAAGTAATAGAGCCAATCTTTAGCTGCACCATCCAGTGAGAAGGGGAAAGCTCTTAACTTAATATGATCTTCAGGAACTCCAGTAGGCTTCATGGTGGAACAAACAACATGGAACTCCTTCAAATGCTTATGTGGATCCTCTCCTGGCAGTCCATGAAACTTAGGCAGAAGTTGTATTAGGCCTGACCGAAGTTCCAAGGCAGCCTCGAGCTCAGGATATTGAATGCAAAGCGGTTGATTGTCCAGGTTTGGCATTGCCAAATTCCTTATGGTTCGATTCGCATCGTTAGCCATTGCTTCACGTTCTGCTGCACGGGCTCTCCTTCTTTGAGCGTTCTGTCTCCTACAAAATGATTCAATTTCAGGATTCAACGAAGCTTCAGGAGATAGGCCCTCAGTTCTTCTGGTCATGCACTATCTCAATCTGTACATAGACAAAGGCTTTAATAATAAAATCAGCACAAAAAAAAAACTAAAACTATAAATAACTTGAAAAAAATGTTTTTTTTTAGAAAAAAACTAGTAACTTAAGAGAGTACTAGCTAATCTACTTAACTCCCCGGCAACGGCGCCAAAAATTTGGTGCGTGTCGTTTTAACACCAAATAAAAAAAAACTAAACTAACACGTAGATAGTGAAAGTTCAGGTCGATCCCACAGAGAGTTTGGATGATTAACTACTATTTCTCAAGTTATTAGAATCAAAGATTTTTTTAATCGAAAGAAATTAAAAATGCAAAGTATGTAAAAAAAAATTGATTAACTAATAAGTAGAGGTTTAGATTATATAAAAAGAGATTTCCAATTCCAAGTTTTAACCCATGTAAGTTTAATCGATCATTGACAAAGGAAATTTATTCATCATAATAGTTGGCGTAGATCAATTGCAAACGCAAACTAATCTCAAATTCACCTATTATTATACCTAAAAGCGACAAACGCCTCAATTAAGTCTAATTAATTCCCAATCTTAGAACAAATGTTTAAGATTCAAGGCTCAATCGCATTAATCTTTGTGAATTTTCAGCCAACACGAATAATATTTCCCAAACGGGTGAATATTCAATTCATATCTATATTTTTCTAGATGGTTCGTAAGCACCTAGTCACTACTATAATGAACCCTAATTTCAACAAATCAGACTTCAACTAGCAATAAACTCACAAGAATAGTAAATAAGTATGCATCCAAATTAACTAATCTCATGAATTCAACTGAAATTGATTCACAAAAATATAGAATACTATGGCAAATAAATCATTAAGCACAAAAATCTCACGAATTAAACTACATAGTATTAACTTGGAATCGGAAAATCTAAGATTTAGCTACTGGGAGTCATCTAGCAATGAAAACTCAATCAAATTAAACTGAAAATTGCAGAAATTAAAGATGGAAAAACTGCCCGAAGGATGACGATAGGCTTGCTGTTTTGTTTGGTCTGCGCCCCTGCTCTCTTCTCTTCTTCCTTGACCTTGCTGCTGCGTTTTTTTCTTCTTCTTTACTCTATTTATTTTTGCTGCAGCCGTCCTATTCGAATCCCTTCATCTCCGCTCGCAAATCCCTCTTTCAGTTGCTGCAATCCCGAAACTTTCTCAACCGATCAAAACTGATTCGGAAACTCCCGTTTCTTTTCTTTTTTTCCTTCCTGATTTCTTGCCTTCTGTCTAAACGTTGGCTTCCTCCTTGGGCTTGTGCGTTTTTGCTGCAAGTAAAAGAAAAGAAGAATCCTTATCTAATCTAAATGAAAGGCACGTGCACAGCCACTAGCTCCCACTTAGAAGACTAAATAAAATTTGTCTAAAATGTCAAATGACCATGCTAAAAAAAATGACTTGCTTACATTGACCTCTTATTAAAATAAAATAAATTAAGAGCCAATTTTGAGAATAAAAACAATTATCGGGACCTCTTAAATTTGTAAAACTAGCAGCAAATAAATGCCCAACACACTACAAAAGCGATAAAAGGGATAAAAGTCAATATATCGGAGCGAAACCCTAGGAGAGGCGTTTCGACCTTACCCACCCAATTTAAAAAATTGGGATTTTTCGGACTGTTGACTGCCTTTGACCGAGCTTTGACCGAGTCTTTCCTCTGCTCCAGGTCCAACTCTTCAGCTCCTAGCGTCCAGAGTTGTGCAATTCAGTTCCTTCAAGCTTCAGGTCCAGCAGCCCAACAAATGAGCAGCCCAAAGTCCAGCAAGGAGCTACTTCCTTCCTCCTGCTATCCTTCTGCGTACAGGTCTAGTCCAAGGCTTGAGTTGACTGCCAACATCAGGTGAGGCTCCAACTCCCAGCAACTCCACGTCAATCAGGAACACCTCCGGCCCAAAAAAAAACTCCGATCCAGGAATTTGCGTTCCTTCTAAGCGAGTTCAAGCGAGACTCAAGCCAGCGACAAAACCAACTCTCTGCTTCTGCGCCAGAGGTCCACGTCCAGCTCTAGTAACGTCCAGGTTCAAGCGAAGCGAGCGACCAGGCTTCCAGCAATAGACCGCCTTCAGCGGCTCCTTCGAGCCAGCTTCTCAAGCTCAGCGACGGGACTCCGGCCTTCCTCCTATGACGGAATTCCAGATCCGAACTAGAGCTCAACGATGAACTCACTTCCGGACGGTGATTCAGCAGCACCAACCGGCGATTGACGGTTCCAGCTACCTCCGGCGAACCAGCTCCACCGCAGATGGATCTCCATGCGACGATTCCCAGGCAGAAGCTCCAGACGACGAATGAGGCAGGGCAGAACACCGACGATGGTTCTCAGGCAGATGGCGGCTCCAGCGGCGAACAAATCGGCGAGCAACGATTTTTCCAGACCTCGAATTGGCGGCGGGCGGCGGCGGACGGCGGCGGACGGCGGAGTACGGCGGAAGACGGAAACCAGGCTCTGATACCACTGTTGAGGATCGATTTCATCACGGGATTCCGGCTCAAGCAGTCCGGAGCTCGGTTCCGACCGTCTCTTGTGCACACCTAGGCTAAGGGAGCAACTACTCTATTAACCACGCCTACACTCACGCTCTCTAACTTCACAAAGAAGGAGAAGATAACCTCACATGGAAGAGGCTTACAGCCAGAAAGAAGAAAGGTCCGTTAATTGAAGCTCTGGCTTATCTCAAAGACAGCAAAGGTCTGCCCATATAACAAGGTCTGATTTTGGCCTTATTAGCAAAGGAAACAGGACAACCACGGATACATACAATGTATGTACAAGGAGATAATTCAACTCAATTATGATTCAAACGGAACAACTGAATAGGAATATATCAGACTACATGCAAAGACTAGGAGGTGTAGCGGCTGCTAAATAGAGTGTCAACCATTATTAATATACAAAAAACGTTTGGGCCAACAATATATTAACAACTTCAATCGGGAATGCATCCAAATTAATTCTTGAAGATAACTGCGCATTTAACTGCACAGTTATCTTCAAGAATTAATTGAATGTGCTCCCCATTGAAATTTTAGCTGAAATTTGATATGATTAAACTAGATTTGATGAATAAGATGCTAAAAAATTTTCATCAAAAAATTCCACCGGGAACCGCCCCAAATCGCGACGGCCATACAGAGCCTCCTATATAAGGACTTATTTGACTTTTTATGAAAGTTCGAGGACCTATTTGACAGCTTTCCCTAGATAAATATATTTGATTTTTTATATCAAGATATACTTGTGGGAGTGTTGTCTTAACTGTAATTGAAGTACACTAAAATATGCATATTGCAATTGAATAGTGGATATGATAATCTATTTCTATCTAATACGGAGTAGCAAATAAAATAATCTTATTTTTTCATATTGAGATGTAATGGTGATAATATATGCATAATTGGATAGGACACTCTCATACTTCAGTTATATGCTCAAGTTACATTCTGGAATGGAGGCACAAGTAATTTTTGTTCTTTTTGTATTCCAAAATGAATAAGAACTATTATTGGATGTTTCTTAAACTTGTAAATATATATCTCAATCTGTTGGGGGTCTTGTGATAAGCACAATAGTTACCTATATTTTATATATGTAATTATGATTATCTGTACAAATATTCAAAGACGAAACAGCTAAAAATCCCAATTTGAGCAAAAACACATAAAGGCGTCAAAGATGAAGAAACGGGAGTCAACAGTAAAAAAGGACTGAGAACCGACACCTTGGGGTCAACTACTGGCATAAAAAAGGAGCAAAAAATGGAGTATTACACTGCAAGGGAGAACCGGTGCCGGTCTGCCCTGAAAACCAGCGCCGGTTGCATTTAAATTGAATTATTCCCATTTGGCCGAAGCATAACCGGCGCTGGTCCACCACTATAACCAGCGCCGATTATGACATTTTTCATTGTATCCGCTGCGCTGAAGTAAAACCAGCGCCGGTAATGCCTAAAACCGGCGCTGGTTAATCCCGATTCTGCACAAAACAGGGAGACGTGCAACAATATCTTGATGGGAAAACCCCACTTTCCTTATGATCTGAGCAAATATTTTATCCATGCCTAATTGTTGGGCTTGAATAGACTAAAAGATGTCAATCTTTAGCCTATATAAAGCTCTCAATTCATCAAACAAGATCATCATTCCATCTTTGGAGCTAAAAATTAAGTTTTTATATTTTACTTTTGCATTTTCTTGAGGAGTTGGAGAAGAAGCTATTTCTCTCCTCTACAATTGGTTCTGGGTAATAATTCTTGTATGTTATTGTATTTCCTTTATCTTAGTTACACTTTTGTAATTAGTATGAGCTCACGGAGCTAAGTTCTTAGCTAAGACTAGGGATGAACTTATATGCCCACTAGGTATTTGATAAAAGTTCTAAACCAATAAATTGTGATTTATCATTTACATTTTGATTGTTTATGACTATGTTGTACAACATAGACGTATGTTAAATTTAGTTTATGTTTGCAATTAACGTTGAGTCTAAACTATGAACATTAAAGGATAAACATATATATTACCGAGAATAGAAATATATCCGGTATTATATGATACAGGTGTGATGTCTTGATATTCAATGAGATTTTCGGTAGATGAATGTAAGTCGTAACGGGACTTACACGTAACGAAAACCACGCTCTCGCTAGCTTAACCGGAGTTGAGAATATATTAGCGACATCGTATTCATAATTATTGGTAAAGAAACTAATATTAAACCCTATTAAAGCATGTAAGTGATTCCCAAAGCCTTAGCGGTTGTTATCATTCATCTTAAATTCGAATTAATCAAGGTTATTTCCTTGAATTAAAAGTGAAAAGCCAAAAATATAAAACACAACTCAAAATCCCTGCACTTTACTCATTTCAATATTTAAAATTATCTACTCTCGGACTTAAATTAAACAACGTTTCCCTGTGGATTCGACCCGGTATTTTACCGGAATTTATTACTATATCGTCACTTGTACACTTGCAAGTTTAGCCCGATCATCTTGCCATGTAGGGGTTTGCTCTACTACATCAATTTTATAGCCCATACACGTATAGCATGCGTGTTTCCTCCCTCATATTCTATTATATCTAATTATCAATTTAGTTTAATATGCTTTTGGGTTCTAATATTATTGTATGATAATTAACTGTGATAATAGAGTTTTCCTTGAAATATTATTAGGTCGTATTTTTTATTCCTCTAATGGGACAAAACCTGTTTCCTTCCTCTCGGGATTATTTGATTTCTGAAATATGTTGCAAATTTAATCCTGAACAGGTATTTCATGCGAATTGAAACTGATTTAGAACTGCTTTCAAAAAAAAAAAAAAAAAAAAAAAAAAAAAACTGATTTAGAACTGGAGTATTTCATGGAATTGGATGCATATACCATACAACCGACTGTACGGCTGGCACCGTACAACAGGTGACAATTTTGTAGTTTTGATGAAGTTCATGGTTTCTTTTACATGAGCATTGATGTAATTGGATGAGCATCGAGTCTGTTTTTCTGAGTATCAGGAGCCTAACAATGAGCATCAGTGATCTCTGCTTCATATATTCTAATTCAGTTTGTTTTTATTATTTTTCGTTTATAAAAAATTCTTAAATTATGTTTATAATTAATTTTAATATGTGAATCTAATGTAATATGATATGTTTGATATGTGCATCATTTTAAAATGAGCATAAAGCGGTACCAAATGAGCATACATAATTTACAAAATGAGTATCAAAAAATTCAAAAGCTCATTTGTGTATGCTCATTGATTTTGGGCGTTGTAATTGATATGTGCATCATTTTAAAATGAACATAAAACAGTACCAAATGAGCATACATAATTTACAAAATGAGTATCAAAAAATTCAAAAGTTCATTTGTGTATGCGCATTAATTTTGGGTGTTATATTTGATGAGCATCATTTTAAAATGAGCGTAAAGCAGTACCAAATGAGCATGCATAACTTACAAAATGAGTATAAAAAATTCGAAAGCTCATTTGTGTATACTCATTCATTTTGAATGTTATACTCATTTTAGTTTAACATAAAATTTATTTCCGATGTGTTTAATATTAATTTGTGTGAGTTCATTTCTTTTAGGCGTACACTCATTTTTTTAGGCTCATTTAAAACTCTATCATGCTCAAAATTTTATTTGTTCATGCTCATATCTTTAAAACTAAGTACTCCGTACAATTTAGGTATCCCCTAACCCAAAAGCTACCAAATTAAAAAAAAATCAGAAAAATAGAAAGAGGAAAAGAAAGCGGAGCATAGCGTCATCTTCCCAGCATCTGCGCAATCCATCCATCCATAGCCCGAGCGAAGCCATTATCTGCGCAACCCATTCACAACCTCTCCATCGCCGCGCGCAGCTCGACGAGCGAAGGCCATCAACAAGAAAGAGACAAGATTCGAGCGACAGAGGTGGAGATCCCAGCGAACAGGGAACAAAAAGCCCGGCTGTACCATGCGCACGGTACAGCCGACTGTACGGTGTAACTTACGCATGGAATTGATGTCTGGGGTGATCCACTTCTATTTAGTAACTACATTTTCATCTCAAAAAGATTGAAACAAGAAACACTTTTGTATGTGGTAATTGTATTATTACTTTTGCTCATTAATGATTTTTCTCATTTGGTAAAAATTAAAAAACTTGATTGTTTTTTAAAGGTCCCATTTCATTGGTTTCGGTCTATGTGGTAAAAACCGGACCGGGAAGCAACCCGGCCAAATAACTGGGTCACGGGTCAACCCGGACCCGGCGGGTCAACCCGGTCAACGCCGAAAAACCCGATCAACATTGAAATTAAGTTATTATTCTAAATATATATACAAGGTTTTACAAAATAAAAATGTATTTTAAATTAAATGGAAAAAAGTATGATGCTTATTAGAAAAAATAATTATTATATATAGACAACTTTACTTATTATTTATTATTATAATAAGTCTATGTAATACATAGAGTGAATTAATGTTTTTATATTTTATATTATTATTATTATAATTATTATTATTATTATTATTATTATTATTATTATTATTTATATATCTCAGTCATTCTTAGCTTTTAATGTATTGACCGAAAGCATTTAGTAATAATGATTGTTATTATTATAATTGTTACGATAGTATTTATCAAGTAACACTAAGTTTTCAATAATACTCCGTATCTAATATATACTTCTAAACATCAACATGAGCAAACGAGCTTGTGTACTTTCGTGGTTTGGAACTTGGAAGCATAGGATTCAAGTGAAACACTCGTGTTCGAAGCCCTTCGGCACTTTTTTTTGCAAATAATTCCGGGTTCTGCTGATTTTCCAGGTTTGGGCCATCCCAGTTGCGGTTCGGGTGACCGGGTTCCGGGTCGACCCGCCCGGTCCGGTTCGGGTCTTTCAACATAGGTTTCGGTAGGATATTCATGTAGTTGTTAATATTTTCCTCTTATTCATAGTTGTGGAATTATTCTTCCCCCAACGACGGTGTGTCAATTGTTGTAAAATGATATGATGTTAAGAAAGTATAACATATGTAATCTGCGTGTAACAAAGTAACCCTATTTTTCATTTTGAAAAGAAAAGTCCTATTTTATTATCCGCACTACATTCATAGCCGTGTAGCATATAATTAAGGAAAAGATAGTACTTGCTATAATAAACTTGGTTTTAACAATCTGATGTTAGTTTTATATTAAGAATGACAATTTTATATTTTTTTTTTGAGGTGGGATTTTATATTTGAATGTTTAGTGTTATCGTGTTTTATCTTTAATATGAAGATATGTGAATGAAATTTAGGATTTGAATCTTTTACAATGTAGTTGTTAATAGTATCATTAGCGGCCACATTATATTTGGTCTCAAAAAGTATTAGCGACCACCTACTTTTTTTGGTCGCAGAATGTCATTTGCGACTAGGGCAATAGGGACCAACACACGACCACATTTTGTGGTCGCAAATAATCTTTTCTGACCATATTATATGCTTTTGTGACCATTTTTCCCTTCGTTAATGGACTTTTTTCTTGTAGTGGGAACATGAAAAAATGAAATGTTTGAGTATAGGGTTCAAATGATTGAAAACTATCAATGTACGACCTAAATCATTAATTTATTTTTTATTAATTCCATTGCTAAATCCATTGCTAATTTTTTATGGTTAATTTTTTTTTTATTAATTCCATTGCTAATTTTTTATGATTTTTTCTTTACAAAAGTTTATGAGTTTAGTGAATTAAAATAAAAAAATCATGACAACTTAGATTCTAGGGAAAAGTACGGAAAAGATACTTGTGGTTGAGCCTGTTTTCATATAGGGTCATGCGTTTCATTTTTTATCAAAATGGCCCATTTTCCTTGTTACAAGAGGGTCACGCCGTTAAAAACGCCCGAGAAAGACAGTTAATAGTAACTCCGATTTTCAAAAGTGTCGGGAAAATTAAAAGAAAAATACCAGAAGGTGAGCCTCGCCAAGATGAACTCCAAACCACCTTAGCCTTTGGATTTTTCGGATCTGTTTGAATACTTCTTTAAAAATGATTTCGCTAATAACACTTTTCTAGTGAACTTTCTGGTGACAAGGGTGGCTGAAAACAAAAAAGAAAGATGACCTAGCTGTTGTCTTGTAGAGGCGCACCTTCTGACATGTACAATAAATAAACATGTCACACCCATAAACGCAGAATAATTTTTTTTTTAAAACTAAATCATTTATAATTACCAAAACAATATCTCTTATTCCTAGTCATGGCTTCTTCTTTCGTCTGTCCATTTTACTTCCTTTTCTACAATTTGAGTTGTGTCCAAATGATCACAATTCTCACCAATATGATGCATCTCGTCATTCATATCTTTCATCGTTTCATGCTCCATATCCTTCACATCTTTCATCAAACATGTATCATGGCTTACTTCTCTTCCTTGCTCTTTCTCTTCAATGCGATCCGCTTCCTTCTTTTCTTGTTTGATATTTCCTTTACAAGAGATAGAATCTTTTTTAAAACTGCATCCTGTTTGTTTTGCATTTTTTGTATTTCTTTTACCTCTCCAAGTATTTTGGCGGTGTCTTTGGAGTGTTTGGCTAGTGTCTTGATCACTATATTTTTTCCTGGCCTTGCCGCATCTTCACTTTCATGGGAACTAGAATCTTCAATATCATCCGCATTTTCCCCTTTTTTCCTCAATACGCGCTTACTACAATCTCCTTTGTTCTTTTCGCTTGCACATTTCTTATTCCTTGCACTTTTTCTGTTGCATCTGCCATCTAAAACACTTTCTGTTTCTTTCTTCTTTCCTTTTTGTTTTTCTGCATTCTTTTTCTTCTGTTTTGCTTGTGCTCTGTCTAGATCAATTCTTAAGTCCTGGAATGCTTCATTTCCTTCCCTTCCACGAAGCCCTTCTATGCATTTTATCTCCTCTGCACTTGGAACCATTCTTATCCACTCAAACTGCCAAAATTAACATTTCAAGTTAACATATTACTATATTATTTGTTAAAGTATATTTATACGAAATGTGTTTGTACCTCCATACATAATTCTTTTGATGTAATATCATTGCATTTACCTCGATATTATGGAAGATGAGCTCACAGAACTTTTCTATTGATGGCTTTTTGAAAAAAGACCATCTTAGAGTTCGGGGTATTTGATCTTCTTTCCCTTCTATTTTATTGCACAATCCTGCACTAGCCAAACTTGGAAATGTTTCAAATGCCCAAATTTGTATAGCATGCATACAACCTGGGAAAGCAACCCTTTTTCCTGTGCAGATTTTCAATGCTTGCGCATTATTTTTCATATTGGTTACAAGGTCATCCCAAACATCCTCTCCCCAAGGGTAAGAATTGAAAGTATCTAGATTTTCTACTAAGTTTATATATTTTCCCGGTAAACGATGTGAGTACTGATTTCCTAGAAAACCATGTGCTAGCACATACAATAATGCTAGTTTAATTCCATCTTCTTTTTGTGTCCTAGGATATTCAGAATTGTACTCCTCCATTGCTTGAATAATATCTTGTCTAAGTATTATTTTCTTACTACCGAAGTATCTTCGACACAAATCCCCTCCTGGGACATCAAGAATATTAGGGAATTCTCTCCCTATGTTCAAGCCAGTCACTATTGCTAAATCATCCTTTGTAAAACCAATCACGCTATTGCCTATGTGAAACCTTATTATAGTTTTTTCAGTTGTCCCATTGAACTCTTCGATGTAATTCGCTACAAAGGCTATGCTTAATTGCCCACTTATTCTTGGCATATGTTCTATGTCTAGAATCCATCCGAAAACAGTGTCTCTGAATTGTTCTATTTCTTGTTGATTGAGTTGGACCTTTATTCGCTTAGCTACTTCACTCAAATTGCAATAGCAGTTCACACGAAGCTTTTCTAACTTCTGCAACAGTCCACTATCACAAGTCCTTGTTATGGCCTGTAATAATAATTAAACATGATTATTATGTAGTTATTATGAATAAACATTTCTAAATTTACTTTATGGCACTTCATTGCCAAAAATGGTACTTATTATGGCACTTGATTGCCATCCTAATGACATCTATAAGTCTTTTATTCTAGCATTCTCATCCAACAATGCTCTTGTTTATGAGGTTTTCTTTTGACAGATTTTCACAAACACAAGTATGATGTGTATTAATGCCATTTCGACTCAATAGCTCCTCCTACAGGAATAAGTTGTTTTAAATATGTTAAAGAATTGACACTTTAGCAATACACTGATCATTTAAAGAGCATATGCATATTTAATTCATCTTTTCTAACTACACATCGTTTCACTATGGTACTTATTGTCGTTCTAATGACATTTAGTTTAATACATTTGATTTTTGACATATTTTACCATATAAGATGGCACTCAATAACAAAATGTTTTTTGTAATATAATCCTTTAGAACACTTTCACTCAAATACGAACTCAAATACTGCATCTAAAACACGTAAGCGCACACATATCATTATATGGTCTCTTCCTCAGCGTATTCAATTCCATGAGTAACACTTGCATAACTTAAATATTCAATCTTTATAGAACCATTAGTAGTATATGGCCCTAACAAAAAATTTATATCATGTATTAGTCATTTCTCTCAGAATTTATCATTGGTGAAGAACTCATCACACAAAAATGAAATTAATAGCAAAAAATGTCATTCGTGAGTTCAAATATTCCAACAAACATCTCCATATATCTTAGACACTAATTCCATATAAGTAAAATCAAATTAATTTAACATTAACAGCCTAAAATCGTACCAGGTCTAGTTTTATTTTAACGTTTTGATCGGTTGACTCAAAGTCGGAACCCACCATTGTATATCTTCTTATTTCGTTGTTCTCAAGCTTAGTTCTGTGTTTTGCTTTTATTTCTTTACCATTGCTTTTGATGATTCCTTTTATTTTTCGTTCTCCGACTCTAACGGCTTTGCGTATTCGAAGGTTTGAATGTTTAGATTTCCCAATTAATTCAAGTGTCAAACGACTGGATTGATTAATTCAAGCGCCAATTCATTTAGCTGAATCCACTTCATTTACGGCTTACACAGACAAAAGCTCCAGTAGTTTGTTAGTTCAGGCAATCAGGACACTCTTTTTTACTCCTACTAAGTTACCTAACGAAAAGTTGAACTCTTATTTGCGCATAATTATTACTACGTATGTTTTAGTTTGGTAATTTTCTCAGTTTCAATTTCTGACAATTACGTTATGGGCAACTTTAATCAGCAAGTGGTATCTCTAACTCAGACTTAAACAATGGAATGCATCCTTTCTTAAAATAAAATTACATGGAGTTGTAGCCTCTCAAGAGAAAGATACATACCACATTCTTATCGCGGGGTGGAAGGGCGACTGACTTAGTGGATTCATCCATCTCCTCTCCTCTCTTCTCCCTTACATTGCGATCAACATTAGTTGATCTTACACCTGCTAATTTATGGTATGAGTAGAACAGTTTAACATTCTTCTTAGTAGCAGTACTGAGCAAATTTAGCTCTAGAGTGATTGGTTCATATTCAACCCAAAAAGGTTTACGAGCCATAACATTTTCAATTATGTTCAAGACTATTGAAGTTACTACTTAGAGCCAAAACTCGAAATAACAAGGTCACAGCCGATTAGACCCTAATTAAACCATAAAATTATTTTTAAACAGGTAATTTACCTAAAATGTATTAATATTTAACAAAGTTTAAGTGTAAACTTTTATACAAATTTATTTAAAACCTTATAGAATAAAAAATTATATATAAAAAACAATTAGTTAGCAAAGTCAACTTTTAAAAAGAAACTTTTATATTAAAAATTCAAATTCGGTCCAACCTATTCGATCGGGTTATACCCAGAGTAATCTGATCCCGTCTTGGAAATAGATTTAGTAATGCGAAGTATGATGATACATGGTAGTTTTATGAAGAAAAATAATATACATTTCTTAATCTAGACATACAAACTTTATTGTAATCATTTTATAATATTATACTTATATTATAGGGATAAGGGTCAGATAGGGCCTCGAACTTGGGAAAAAATGTCAAATAAGGCCATATTTAGGATGCTATGTCCGGTTGACGCCATTTGGGGCGGTTCCCGGTGGAATTTTTTGATGAATTTTTTTGAGAATCTTATTCATTAAGTCTAGTTTACTCATATCAAATTTGAACTAACAATTCAATCGGGAAGACATTCAAATGAATTCTTGAAGATTACTGCGCTTTTAACTGCACAGTTATCTTCAAGAATTCATTTGAATGCCTTCCCGATTGAAGTTTTAGTTCAAATTTCATATGAGTAAACTAGACTTAATGAATAAGATTCTCAAAAAATTTCATCAAAAAATTCCATCGGGAACCGCCTCAAATGGCGTCGGCCGGACAGAGCATCCTAAATATGGCCTTATTTGACATTTTTTCCCAAGTTCGAGGCCCTATCTGACCCTTATCCCTATATTATACTCATGCACATTTTCTTCGAACAATATACATATGTTGTTGTACTCAGGGATTTAAATAGCGGTCCGCTACTGCTATTGCGGCCGCTATATAGCGGTTGCGGTAGGCTCTGCTACCGCTACACACCGCTATAGTGGTGTGAATTGGAATCACGACGAAATCCGCTACATAACCGTGACAGAACCGCTACGCCGCATCGGGCCGCTACACGCCGCTACCGGCTTCAACAATGCCGCCACCGACTCCAACGGTGTACTGCAGTCCCAAATGCATGGATGATGCATACATGTAGTCAACAATACTTAATTGTGGGGTGGCTGATGCGTAAATGTGGTTTGATTTGCGCGCTTTAAAATATTTCACACCGCAGCTACCGCTATGACCGTTGCCGCTAACGCTATTTAAAACCTTGATTGTACTTCTCGTAACAAACTCATTCCAATTCAAATTAATCGAATTAGCTATGTCTATTTATTTCAAACAATATACATGTTTTTGTATGCCCTGAAATCAATTCATAATTACACATAACAAACTCATTCGGATTCAAATTAACAGATTTAGCTATGTCTATTCATTTGTTATAGAAAAATCTTTTGAAAAGCATAACAATTGTGAATTGTACAAGTTTGTATACAAATCTCTGTTCACTAAACTTGATCAGTCTAAACACAATCCACATTTAAGAAAAAAAGATTAAATGTATAAAAAGAACTACTTACAAAAAAAGATCATCTGATTAAAAAAATCTTTCATCAAGCTTCAAACTTGTAGAATTTGCTCACAGAGTAGGTTGTAGGTATATACCAGGGGAGAATCGGGAAGATGATAGTTGCTTTTCGCAGCAAGTGTAGTCGTAGAGTCGAACTTGGAAAGTAGAGTAGTTATCCATCAGCCAGAATACTGCGAAATCTCCGGCCGCCAAATCGTTATCCTTCACAAATGCACCCCATCCTTCCCCAAACAGGGAATGCTCGCCGCTCTTCTCAAGCTTTACGGCCCATTTTTTCTCCGGCGCCGCGGCGGCGTTCACTTCGAGTGACAGCGTCGGCGGCAGCTTTCCCCCAAAAACCTCCACAAAGAGCGGTGGTAAACGCTGCACGTAACGGCAAATTAGACACATGCATTCACGGAATCGATTGTGTACAATGGGGAATTTGAGAACTTACCAGAGCAGAGGCAAAATCGCCTACTAAGATCTTGAAAAACGAAGGATTTTGCTTCTGCATTTTAAAATGACAGGAAATTTTCAGTATTTCCTGTTTCCATGATGTAATCTATAATCTCCAGAGAGTACCACTTTTTAAATATCAATTGAAGTTCTGACCCGTTTCTTTATTTAGAGCTTCTTTAATGGAAAACAGGTGTTTTATGACTTTCATTTACTTCCTATCATGGTTTTAATAAATTGCGGTTGTGGTAGCGGTTGCGACTAATGTGAAGTCGATTACTGTGACTACTGCGGTTGCGACTAATGTAGCCACCGCGATGCGTATTGCGGCCATTAGGACATGAAATAATTTTAAGTTTGCACATAATGAGATTAAAATGATTTTTTGCATTCTTTAACAAACACATTGTTGTTAATTAATTATTAGGTACTCCCCCGTCTCATATTTATATCCTGAAGAACAATTGACACAGATATTAAAATAGTGATGGAGAGTTCTGCTGAGGAGAGAAAAATGTGTGAGAATGCGTAAGAAATGTTTTGAACCACAAATTCTTTGTCAAAAGGGAAAAACGAGATAATTTTGGGATAGACGGAAAATGGAAGTATGAAGATAATTTTGGAACAGAGGAAGTAGTTAAGTTCATCATCAGCGTTGAAAATATAGTATAAAGACATTAAGAATTCTGTCACGAAGAAGCCGAGTGATCCTGAAAGCGATGCAATAACGCCACGAAGAACCAAGGCTATCGCCCGAATCGGTACTTCAAAAAACCACAAGGGGACCGAACTACTCCTCAACAATTGTCGATAGCAGAAGCAGGGAACCACATTCTTTGTTAAAAAAGAGAAAAAGAAGATTATTTTCAGACAAAGAAAAGAAAAAGAAATTTAAAAAATAATTTAGGGACGGAGGAGTGTTTAATTAGGGAAAGAATGGCAAAAACAGGACCAGTGAATTTTGACTCGACAAAAACAAGACCCGTTTAAACCTAGACAAAAAAGGGACCAAACCCGTCGCCTTCCTTCTTCCGCGGCGTATCTCCGCACATCTGCACATTCCTTCTCCAACATCTTCGCATCTGTTGCCTTCCATCTTCAACGCATCTACCCACCATCCATCTACATCGCACCTCATCTCATCTCCATCACATCTGCTCTTTTGTCCAATGCCACCACAGATCTCGCTCCTGCGGCCGACCATTTCCCACGACGTCGCTCCATATGGTGCTGCAGATCGAAGTATGACAATTGCTTCAATTTGATGAATACTTTAGGGCGGCGACGACTAGGTATGGGATGAAGGCTGGACAGGGCGGTGGGGGACGGGGGGTGGCAGTGGGCTGGTTGGTGTAGGCTAGAGGGGACTGTGGGAGGGTGTTGGGGGTGGGGGTAGGCTGAAGGGGGGTTGTGGGAGGGGCTGGGGGCTGCTTGGGGGCTGTGGGAGGATGCTGGAGGGGCTGGGGGCTGTGGGAGGGTGCTGGAGGGCCTGTGGGGGCTGTGGGAAGGTGCTGGAGGGGGCTGGGGGTAGGTGGGGGCTGGGGAGGGGGGCTGGTGGGTGAGGGGTGGTGGCTGTCACCTCCGGGTGGCGGCAGCTATCCCCGTCGAAAGGCAGCGACGATCAATGCAGGATCAAATTGGTCATGGTTACTCGTCGGGACGTTGATCGGATTGATCATTGCCACTTGTTGGATTTGGTCACAGGTGGATTAGTCATAGGTCGGTTTGGTCGCAGACGGTTTGGTCACGGGTGAATTGGTCGATTTGGTCACGGATGATTTGGTCATTAGGCGGGTTGGTCATTGGACGGGTAGAGTAATTGTAACTAGATGGGTGAGATAACTGTAACTGGACGGGTCAGGTAACTAGACTTGTGAGGTAACTGTAACTGGTCGAGTCGGGTAACTGTAACTGGACGAGTCGGGTAACTGTAACTGGACGAGTCGGGTAACTGTAATTGAACTTATCGGGTAACTGTAACTGGACTTATCGGGTAACTGTAACTGGATGATCGGGTAACTGTAGCTGGATGATTGGGTAACTGTAAGTGGACAGGTCGGGTAACTGTAACTAGACGGGTCGGGTAAGTGTAACTGGACGGATCATGTAACTGTAACTGGATGAGTCGGGTAACTGTAACTGGACAGGTCGGGTAACTGTAACTGGACAGGTCGGGTAACTGTAACTGGACGGGTCGGGTAAGTGTAACTGGACGAATCACGTAATTGTAACTGGACGGATCGGGTAACTGTAACTGGACGAGTTGGATAACTGTAACTGTGTGGGCGGACGTTGGTCACTAGACGGGTGAACGTTTGTCACTTGGCGGAATTTGGATTTTTCGTCGATTTTTTGTCACTGTATTATTAATTTGTTATTGTTCATTGTGACTATACTGGAACAATAACTGAAATAATTTTTACAAAATTTTTGTATAATAATTTAAATATTTTACTCTTATATTCATCTCAATGAAATAGATATCTTGAGAAATACGAACTAATATTTTTTTGGTGCAAATACGAACTAATATAAAAATCAAAAGAAACATGAATTTACATTGCAATGTTGGGCAGCACATAGCACTATGGGCAGTATGGGTAAACATTTGCAAAGATGGTGTGAGGTTAATCACTTCTTCGGATGTACGTATGTCTTAATCCCATTTTAGGTCCCTTTTTTTGGAAAGGGAAAAAAAGGTCTCTTTTTTGTCTATAGTTCTTTTTTTACTATTATTTTAGACATAACCCCTTAATTAGGACGTGGTCATTTGAATTTAATTTGGTATCCAACTAAATCAACTGAAATAAATACAATTGATTCGGTAGATAAAAAAAATTAGAGTCAGACTTGTCTTAGACACTTCATAAAGGTAAAATGAGTTTTGCTAGGGTACACAAAATGTGTACACATTTCTGTCCTTCACAAAAATTTTGTTTTTCACAGACAACTCAATTTTTGTCTGTGAAAGACAAAATTTTTGTGAAAGACAGAAATGTGTACACATTTTGAAGCTCAAGCATTTTTTAGGTGAAATTCATGAATAGATGAAACTAAACGAAGTCAAATCACAAACCAATCGCCAGAACACTACCCTTTGTGTAGCTAGAAGCACTTCCTCCTCTTTTTTCATTAAATCACCAATCCTAACTGATTTAAAATCCATATTTGCAAAAAAAAAAAAAAAGTGATTTGAAATCCATCTCTTTTGAAAAAAGTCAAAAGATCACATATCCAACTATGGAATGATTTGTAGCTATTCTTAGTGCCAAAACTTCTACCCTGTTTTCGATGATCAAACAAGATGATGAAAATATGCGATGACAGTAGTAACAATAATAAATAATACTCCTTCCGTCTCATAAAATTGTTCCCGCATTGATTTAGATCGTAGTTTAAGAAAGTGAGAATAAAGTGGAAGTGTGTGGTTGTGGTTGACTAAGAAAACGGTAAATGAATGATAGCCACAAAAAACTTCCCAAAAAGGGAAATGGGAACTATTTATTGGGACGGCCCAAAAAGGAAACCGGAAACTATTTTACGGGATGGAGTGAGTAATATAATACTATCTCCGTCCCACTAACATTGGGACGGAAGAAGGTGACACGATTATTAAGAAAAGTGGGTTTGTGTGGTTGATATTAAATTGATAAAGTAAGAATAAAGTAAGAATGGTTTATAGTCACACAATCTTTACCAAATTTGGTATGAGACAATCTTAGTGGGACTTCCCGAAAAGGTAAAATGGGACAATCTTAGCGGGACGGAGAGAGCACTACGTACTCTCGGGTTTCTCACCCTAGGAGTAGAAGAAAAAGTAAATGAATTTTTGTTAGATGTTTTTTGTTGATAAAGACCACGACAAGAAGACAGATACTGGTGTGCTGCAGAAAATGTATGGTGGGATTCATGCAATCATGCGTAAGGCTGCCCGCAACCCCGTTCCGTCAATAAATCAAATTCCACAGCTCTTTATACGTATTCACTCAGTCAAACCATTTTTCCCTACAACTCAGCACCGTCAATATATTCACTCTGTAAAGTTTTTTAATTAAAATCTTAACATTTATTATTATATATCATTTCTTTCCGTTGTTTGTAAATAAATTTGAAGTTTAATTTTAATTTTGTTACTTTAGAGCTATTTTAAAATAAAAATATTTGAAAGATGAAAAATAATTTAATTGTGAAATCTTCATTTTGGCAACTGAATCTATTTAGGAAAAAAAATTAGGTCTGAAATCTTTCATCAGTAGAAACTTCAACTTTTTTCATTTTACTTTACATATGCGATATTGGTGTCATATGAAAGGTCATAAAAAGTTAAGAATTTTGATATATTTTTTATAAAAATGGGAGTATAAATAAAAAAAGTTAAAACACTTTAAAAATAAAATAAGATTTGCATTTTGAGTGGGACCCATGTTATTATTTGATGCGGCTGCTCCTTTTTGCTTTTCTCTAGCGAAGTGTGAATTGGGTGAGAGTGAAAAAGCTCATCTAATTTCCACCCATGGGATGCCATCTATCCAGGCTTAGCCTCTACAAATACAAGGGTTGTGGAATTTTTAGGAGTGAATAGATCAAAATTGCTTTTTGACCCCATGGGTTGCAATCAACCTAAGGGGTAACATAAAACGGTAACATCTGTTTGTGTTTGCTTCAACTTAAAAAAAGTGGTATTTGTAAGTGATTTTGGAGAAAGTGCTTTTTAGTAAAAGTTGGTAGTGTTTTAAGATAGAAGTGATTAAGATGGAAGAGTTAAAGTTGGAGTGTTTGATAAAAAAGTGATTTTTATTGTAGTGTTTTATTAGTTCCAACTATCCAAGCCTACGACCATATGTCCAGCCACAACCCCATTTATCAAAAAAACCAGAGCAATCAAAAAGTCACAAACGCCCGACGAACGGTTTAGGATGTTTTTACTTGGACTGTAATTTGCTGGTCTGGTCTGGTCTGGTCTGAACTGGTCTGGTCTGGTCTGGTCTAGTAAGGTCTGGTTTCTTTGTATTTTTATAACTATCCAAGTCTGGTCTGGTCTGGTCTGAACTGGTCTGGTCTGGTCTGGACTGGTCTGGTCTGGGACAAATTACAGTCCAAGTAAAAACATCCTTAGAAGAGCAATCCAAAAGGCACAGCAACAAGAGGTGCCAAATTAAAGCG